TCGCGCATCGAATCGAATTATGAGTTTTTAAATCTTCCAACTTCTATATTTTTGCGCCGAAACATATCAAATCAATCCGGAATGACTTCAAATTTTGCACACAAGTCATAAATGACGAAATGGAGCTATTCAAATTTCCGGAATTGAAATCCGACTTCGTTATCAAAAATGCAACCTTCGGTAGGACTTTCCAAAATCTTCTATTTTCCAACTTTTGCCAAAATGCGTCGAATTATCTTACGGACTTCCAAATCCAAATCTGAGCATACGCCTAAGTTCGAAACATCATACGAAGCTATTGACACCATCAAAATTTTATTCCGGGGTCGTTTGCTCAAAAGACAACTCCCCGGTCAACTCTTTCCATTTAAGCTTCTAAATAAGAATTGTTCTTTTAATTTAATTTATGAATCTTTCGAAAATCAAACTCGACCACGCTCGCGGGTCATAATACATATTGCGAAACTGCTCGAGACCTTAAGTCACTGAACGTACGTAAATTCTTAAAACGACAAGTCGGGTCGTTACACATCTGCACTTGTCTAGTCCTCATCCTCTACTCCCTCAGTTGTGTAGTGTTTTATTATAAAGAAGTTAGAAAACAAAGTATGTATTTTAATATAAAGAAGTTAGAAAATAGTGTAGTGTTTTAATCTAAAGAAGTTAGTAAACAAAGTAGTATTTTAATCTAAATAAGTTAGAAAACTAAGTAGTATTTTAATCTAAAGAAGTTAGAAAACTAAGCTTACAAGAATATTAAAACATCACTTACCTGGCGAGGCTTGCTCCTTAGTGAGGTTAGAAGCAGGCGACGCGAGCTCCATTGCGAGCTTAGAGGCAGGCGATGCGAGGGGTGCTGCGAGGTGGACTTTCTACAACCCAGGCAATGCGAGGCTTAACGAGATGATTTTCTGGCTAGGCGAGGTCTGATGCGAGGTAAGTTTGAAAAGCAAAGAAAACTTACCTCGTGATAACCCGAGCGACGCGAAGCAAACGCGACCTGGACCTTGCGATTACCCGCACAACGTGAGTCTAATCTTGTTGGGCAAGCTCCCAAGCGAGCATTGGATAGTAGGGTGTGAGGTTCATGGCGATATCTGAAGCTGAGTTCTTACAGCGAAAATGGGGAATGGCCAGTGAATATAATAGCGAGCAAGAACCATGGCTGGCGACGCGAGCAAAGGACCATGTGAGGTTATCTCTAATGCATGCTGAGAACCCGCCGACGCGATATCATAGCGAGAAACTTACCTGGAGACTCGAGATCACATCGAGAAACTTACCTGGCGACGCGGGCTCCTTAGCGAGCTGTGAAAAAGGAGACGCGAGGCATAAGGCCAGGATTTCCTTGCTATTTCCCTTGCGACGCGAGGCTGCCGCGAGATTGGTCTCACTATAACCCTCGTTGGGCGAGCTCTATAGAGCGCTGAAGACTGGGCAACGTAAGATGGAAAGCACGCTGGACAACAGGCGATGCAAGTTGTACTGCAAGGTGAAATGTTTGCGACGCAAGGTTTGCTTCCAGGTGCGCTGTGCATTGAACTGGATGTCGCGAGGTACGCAACGTTGTTTGGAGCGTATGCATGTAATTTTTATTTCGTTTCGTGAACAACTCCAAGCGCCATAATTTCCATCATGCTCCATTACCTGTTAGTGCATAAAACAAACGAAAATTTATAGTTAAGCTAAAATAAATTAAGAATTGGGTTGTCTCCCAACGAGCGCCTGATTTAACATCGCGGCACGACGCATGAGATCAAAGTTAAGGTTCACTCAACAATTGAGGCACCTTCAAATAAATCACCGATACAACTTTTTCCTCATCCATACCAAGGTAATGTTTCAACCTTTGCCCATTAACTCTAAACCTGTTCGTTCCATCCTCAGATTCAATTTCTACAGCTCCACTTGAGAGTACTTGCACCACTATAAATGGTCCCGACCATCTAGATTCCAGCTTGCCCGGAAATAGTTTCAATCTTGAATTATACAACAACACGACATCTCCGGGTTTGAAAATCCTCTCTTGAATATGCTTGTCGTGTATGATCTTCATCCTTTCCTTGTACAACCTGGTGCTTTCAAAAGCATGGTAACGGAACTCGTCGAGTTCATGAAGTTCTGTGACTCTACTTGTACCAGCGGCCTCCATGTCAAGATTTAATTGCTTTAATGCCCAGAAAGCTCTGCTCTAGCTCCACCGGTAAGTGACACACCTTTTCGAACACCAATCTGTATGGTGACATACCAATCGGAGTTTTGAATACAGTGCGGTAGGCTCATACTGCATCATCCAATTTTTTTTGCCCAATCAGTCCGAGTCGCATTTACAGTTTTGGTTAAAACACTCTTGATTTCTCTATTTGACACCTCAACTTGTCCACTTGTTTGTAGGTGATACGGAGTGGCAACCTTATGGCGCACGCCATATTTTTCCAGCAACTTTGCGAAGGCTCGATTACAGAAGTGAGTTCCTCCATCACTGATGATCGCCCTTGGAGTTCCAAATCGGGTGGAGATATTCTTTCTTAGAAAATCAATAACTCCCTTTGCATCATTTGTTGGGAGTACTACAGCTTCTACCCATTTCGAGACATAGTCCACTATTACGAGTATATACTTGTTGTTGTATGAGTTGACAAATGGTCCCATAAAGTTGATTCCCCACACATCAAATACTTTTACTTCTTAGATTGGGTTCATGGGCATCTTATGTCGACGGGAAATATTCCTTGTCCTTTGACACTCATCACAGCTTTTTACCCAAAAATGTGCATCTTTAAACAATGTCGGCCAATAGAAGCCCGAATCCAAAACTTTAGCAGTTGTACTTACTCCTCCGAAATGACCTCCATAAGGCAAAGCATGACATGCCTGCAAAATAGAAGCTTGATCTATCTCGAGAATATATCTCCGTATCATGTTATCAATAAAAATTCGAAACAAATATGGTTCATCCCAGAAATATATGCGACAATTACAAAAAACTTTTTCTTCTGCACAGAAGACAATTCATAGGGAACAATACCGCTTGCCAGGTAGTTTGCAATGTCTGCATACCATGGAGCTTCCTCAAGGCTCGTGGCTAACAGTTGTTCATCTGGGAAAGTCTCCATGATATCTTCCACCTCAACCTTCGTTTCAGCTCCTTTAAGCCTGGACAAGTGATCGGCAACTTGGTTTTTCGTTCCTTTCCGATCATGAATTTCTAAGTCAAAATCTTGTAGCAGTAGAACCCATCGAATCAGGCGCGACTTTGCTTCCTTTTTATCAATTAGGTACCTGAGAGCAGCATGGTCAGTATAAACAATTACCTTCGAAGTAGGACCGGAATTTGTCAAATACGAACACCACTGCTAGCATCTCTTTTTCTGTCACTGTGTAATTCAGTTGAGAGCCATTCAATGTTCTACTTGCATAGTAGATTGGATGCATGATTTTATCTTTTCTCTATCCAAGTACTACTCCCACGGCATGGTCACTTGCATCACACATCAGCTCAAATGGTTGCTCCCAGTCGGGTGCAACTATGATAGGTGCATACACTAGCCTCTTTTTTAATCCTTCGAAATCTACCCTGCAGTCATCAGAAAAATACAAAAGGGTGATTTTTTCAAGCAATTTACACAAAGGGTTAGCAATCTTGAAAAAATCTTTTATGAACCGCCTGTAAAAACCGGCGTGTCCAAGGAAACTTCTTATTGCCTTGACGGTAGTGGGTGGTGGCAGCTTCTCTATTACATCAATCTTAGCACGGTCCACCTCAATACTCTTACTTGACACCCGGTGTCCTAAGACTATACCTTCATGTACCATAAAATGGTATTTTTCCCAGTTCAGCACCAGATTAGTCTCCATACATCTCCGCAACACTCTTTTCAGATTTCTAAGGCAATCATCAAAAGAATTTCCAACCACTGAGAAATCATCCATGAAAACCTCCATTATATCCTCTACCATATCTATGAAGATGGCCATCATGCACCTTTGGAATATAGTAGGTGCATTGCATAGGCCAAACAGCATTCTCCGAAAAGCGTAAATGCCATATGGACAGGTGAATGACGGTTTCTCTATATCCTCCGGGGCAATAGATATCTGGTTGTACCCCAAGTATCTATCCAAGAAGCAAAAATGGGACCTCTCTGCCAAACTAGCTAGCATCTGATCAATGAACGGCAAGGGAAAATGATCTTTTCGGGTGGCCTTGTTCGATCTATAGTCCATGCAAATTCGACATCCCGTGACTATTCTTGTTGAGATTAATTCATTGTTCTAATTTTTCATAATAGTCATCCCACCTTTCTTTGGCACACACTGAACTGGGCTAACCCAGTTGCTATCTGAGATGGAAAAAATAATTACTGCATCTAACCACTTGATAACTTCCTTCTTTACAACTTCCTTCATGTTAGGGTGCAACCTTCTTTGATGTTTTCTGGAAGGTTTGTGCCCATCTTCCAGTAGAATTTTATGCATGCAGAAGGCCGGGCTGATACCCTTAATGTTTGCAATGGTCCAACCAATTGCATTCTTGCACTCTTTCAACACCTGAAAAAGTTGTTCTACATGCACATCTAACAAACCAGATGAGATAATAACAGGTAAAGTCGAATTAGGTCCCAAGAAAGTATACCTGAGGTGAGATGGTAGCGGTTTCAGCTCCAATTGTGGTGGTGTTTCGATCGATGGCTTGGATGGAGGGATCTTTCTTTCTTCTGAGTGTAAAGGCACGAACTCGAGCTCTCTTTTCCAGTACCCTTGCCCTTGAAGATCCAACATCCATTCCGCAAGTCCTCACCATTTACTTCTTCTAAGTTCATAAGGAAGCTGTTAGAGGGTCTTTTGCATTAAGTGCCTCATCTTCTTCCTCTATGATTACATCCACCGTGTCTAACAAAGAGCAATTTGCAAATTCACTGGGTCGCCGCATAGACCTTTGCACATTAAATATTATTTCTTCATTATTCAGCCTCATTTTCAGCTCCCCCATTTCACAATCAATCAGAGCTCTCCCCTATGGCTAAGAACGGCCTTCCTAAAATTATGGAAATCTCCTCATCTACCTTGCAGTCCAAAATGACAAAATCTGTTGGAAACACGAAATTTCCAACTTTCACAAGTACATCGTCAAGTATACCTGATGGTCTTTTCATCGTCCGGTCAGCTAGCTGCAGTAACATGGATGTGGGCCGTGCTCTTCCAATGCCTAACTTTTTATAGATAGACAATGGCATCAGATTTATACTTGCTCCCAAATCACACAATGCTTTGGCAAATGCATAGCTACCTATGGTGCATGGAATTGTGAAGCTTCCAAGGTCAGATAACTTCTCAGCTATAGGTCTTGACATAACAACACTACAAGTTTTTGTCAACGTGACAGTTTCCAAGTCTTGGAAGTCGAACTTACGAGACATCAAGTCCTTCATCATTTTTGCATAACCGGACATCTCCCTCACAACATCAATTAGAGGAATGTTTACCTTAATTTACTTCAGCATTTCCATGAATTTTTTTTACTGTTCATCCTTCTGATATTTGGCCAACCTCTGTGGGAAGGGTGCCAGAGGTTGCTTCTTTGCTGTAGCTTGAGTTAGATCCTGCTCAGGCACTTTTTCTAATGCCTTCTCCTGCACTTTCTCAGTCTCCTCCGCATCCTCTTTTTCCTTGTTTATTTCCTTATGGGTTGGTTGCACTCTTACTTTTGTTAGCTCAGTTGACTCATCTAACTCAATTGGCACTGTCACAAGTGTTTCAAATGACCGGCTCTCACGAGCAATTTCTTGCTCTAAATCAAGATCTCTACCATTTCTTAGGATCACCACCATAAGCTGATTCGGGCCTTGCTCCTACGGATTGACATTTGTGTCTGCAGGTAAAGTCCCTTGGGGGCGATTATTCAGAGCCATAGATATTTGGCCTAATTGAATCTCAATACCTTTTATCGCTGACTCATGTGCTTCCACCTTCTCTTGCATTTTTCCATTAGACCCAATCAGTTGCTGCAACATTCCTTTAATTTCAGACAACCCATCATCTTGCTTCACTAGCTGTTGTTGCTGAGGTTGTTGATAAGCTAGTTGTTGATTATGCTGACTGTGCCCCTGTTGCCTTTGGTAAGGTACTACTTGACCATGTGTTCGCATAGCTCCGGGATTGTTGGTGTTATTGTATTGTTGATGTGCTGGTCTATATTGCTGATTTTGCTACCCCAAATTCTGACCACCTTGCCTCTGGCCTCCATAGTTGCCCACATAGTTCATGTTCTCTTGATAGTTCTGGTTGTCACTTTTACCACTCCATGAACACACGTATGGTTGGTTAATGCATGGTGTACATAATCCCTCATTAGTCGTGTCAACTATGTATACCTGCTTCTGGACTGATTCATCAATCTTCTTGGTGAGGATACTCATTTGTGTCATCAGAGTAGCCATATTCTCGGCTATGGAATTGTTTGGGTCCAATGCTACTGAGTGAACTATAGGGGTGATTGTAGTGTCTCTTGTCATCTAGCCTGAGTTTTGAGCCATTTTATCTAGTAGGACTTTACATTCTCTAAATGACTTGCTCAAAATGCTCCACCTGCTGAAGCATCAACATTGGCCTTCAAATTATCCGCCAATCCCATGTAAAACCGTTGTCCCAACATCTGATCTGGAATTCCATGATGTGGATACTTAACCAGCATACCTTTGAATCTCTCCCACGTTTCTTGTAATGTTTCAGCTGGTTTCTGCCTGAAGCTCAATATTTCATCAACTTGCTTGGCGGTCATATTTGGTGGGTAAAACTTGTTCAAAAACTGTTTGACTAATTCCTCCCAAGTGGTAATGGAATTTATGGGGAGCGAATTAAGCTAAGTCTGGGCTTCCCCTGTCACTGAGAATGGAAACAACAACAGTCTTATTGCTTCCGGTGTCACATTCGTTTGCCTTTGCGTGACACAAATTGACAGAAAATTTTTCAGATGCTGTTGTGGATCTTCAATGTAAGACCTGGAGAACAGTCCCTTGTTTTGCAGCAAATGTAGTATGTTGTTTGTGATTTGAAATGACTCCGCTTGTATCTGAGGGACTACAATTATAGTTGCCAAATTTTCAGCAGTGGGTTGTGCCCAATCATACAAAGTTGCTTCTGGCACAAGAGGTGCCACACCCTGATTGTTCGGGTCATTCACATTGTTTCGATTGTTTTGATTATCCAAAGCGTCACCCATGTTTGGTTCAATTTGTTCTCTTGGGTGATGATGTTGTTTGTCTTTCTTGTTTGCACGATTTAATGCCTTGAAAGTTTTCTCAGGATCCGGTAATGCTTCAAACAATTCACCAGTTCTTGAAGAGCTTCTAGGCATAGACCTATAACACACAAGACCACAAACGTTAGAATTTCAATGTAATGAATAAAAATGGATAAAATTGACTAAACTAAGAATCTTACAAATTCTTATAGCTGTAATTAGTTGTTGCCTCCCCGGCAACGGCGCCAAAATTTGATCACGCCCAATTATGTCTTATAAAAAGGACTAAGCGGTCGTTGCAAATATAATTTGGTTTACAAGTCCGGAATCGAATCCCACAGGGAAATAACGTGTGAATTATAACTAATAGTTTTGCACGAATTCAAGTAATCAACTTTCAGAAATATTATATAACAATTTGAGAGTTTACTAACTAAGATCAAAGTAATTAAAAATGCAGTAATTTATAACTAACAAGGCAAATATTGTAGACAAGATTTGAAAAAGTCTAAGGTTATGATTCCCCTATTGTCGGAATCTTCCCCGCTACGTTTCCTATAAATTCGCTTAAATAGTTTCTACCAATCGTGAGCACCTTGAGTGTCGTAGCTCTCTTTCGAGTAACTACTACAATTTACTAGACGTATTCTCTCGAACTACGCTAGCTGGCACTAATTTACCGCTCACGACGATCGCACCAAGGTTTCGTTATCTCTAATCCTGCCTTTAAACCCTCTATATCGATCTATCAACTACGTTAGGAGTGATGTTGTTCAAAAACTACCTAAATGTGCACTCTCTCTCGATCAATATACACAATAAATAGGCACAGTTAATTGAGAGCTCTTCAATTAACAACAATGAAAATATAGTTGAACAAGTACAGAAAAATCAAAGACAGATCTATATTAAACGCAGTAAAGAATCATCCTCCAATAGGTTCCATCAAACCTTAGATAAGAGAGTTTAGCTACTCATAAATACAACAACAATCAACATAATGTTTAAAGACATAAAACTACAAAGTAAAGAGATAAAGGAAGGGAAAACGCGTTTGATTCTTGCTCCACAGTGCTTGGCAGCCTATTTCTTCTTCAAAATCATGTCCAACCCTAGAATAACTCATTTAGGGAGTATTTATGTCAATCCCCCGGTCCAATTTCGGGTTTGGGTCTTTTAACTCGCGACTTTTAATTACCGTGCTATAAACCTCGTGAAGCCTGGTCTATAGCGCGGTCTAAACCTCGTTGGGCGAGCTCTGTAGCGCGGTCTAAACCTTGCTGGGCGAGCTCTGTAGCACGGTATAAACCTTGCTAGGCGAGCTCTGTAGCGCGGTCTAAACCTTGCTAAGCCTGGTCTATAGCACGGTTTGGATACTTGATGCTTTTGTGCTCTTTTCTTGTATTTTTGTCCTCTTTTTGTGCAATTTTCACTTGATGATTCTTTCCGATGTTCTTACACATAAAACAACACAATTTAGCTCAAATAGCGCACAATAACTCATTAGACCAACAAAATATAGGGTGAGTAATGTGCTAAAAGTATTGCATTTTTGCATAACATCAGTTAGTATTAGTATTGATTTGAACTTTGTTTGAGTTACTACTTTTATGCATTATAAAATTTATTTACCATTCAAGAATGTTAAGTCTAAACTTGAAATAATACGTTAAAAGATAAAACTGAGAAAAAGTTTAAGAAATATTTATAAATTACATTACAATAAATATTTATATGTATATAATACTTTTAAGAATTATATAAATGTACTATCAGGTTGGTTTGGTTTCGGTTTGACTTTTTTTAGTTAAAACCAAACCAAATCAATTATGGTGGAGTTTTATTTTTCAATACCAAACCACATCGTATTTTTTTTCCGATTTGACTCGGATTATCGATTTGGTGCGGTTTATCAGTTTTCTTTTATCACTCCTACTTGCAACGATTTAAACTTACCATTTTTCAAAGTGAAAGAGAGAGGAAAAAAATAGCCGTATACACTTCGTGATTCCATTGAGCGCATCAGCATATGTGTGTAATTAACTTCTTCCAAAAGCTACATACAAAGAAGGAACCTATGTCAATTAATTGTAATAACCATATCAGTGGTGATAATTTCAAAGAATGAAGCATATAACCATATCAGTGGTGATAATTTCAAAAAATGAAGCATGATGATATTGATATGCCCTACTTCTAGTTCAGAATTTATACATTATGCACAAGTAGATAACGGCAAAATATACGAAGCAAGCACGAAGAAGAAAATAGGGTGAAAGATGGGTTGGGAAGATGAACAGTGTGCAAATATTGTGACTAATTAACCCCACTACATGACTTAATATAGTTTGAAGGATATTGTTTTCATTCATTTATAGTATGAGAGAAATGAAAGGAAGAGTTACACCTTTTTATATCAAATGAATTTACTCTCCTTTAATTAAGTAATGCACCATTTCGTACCATGGAATGACAGCCCCTTTAATTGAGTAACGCACCGTTCCTTTAACAATTGAACCGTTACGAAATGCCGATGGCCTTTAATTGAGTGGTGCATCGTGTCATATTGAGTGGTTTTGTTCTATTTATACGAGGAAAAAATAGGGAGAAAAGACCCAAAAAAAAAAAAAAGATAAATAGGTTTATTGGCTAAAGAGAGGTGTCAAGTCACATTTTCCATTGCCTCCTTTATATATATACACAGTGGCGGACCCAGAATTTTGCGCAAACAGATTCAGTCAAAAACGAAGGTGTCTAATAGCATAAGTGGTGACTTGGTGTCGGGTATGACAAGTAGGGTTTGATCATTTTATTATATTTTTTGCTCTTAATACAATATCAAAATGAAATCATTTTAAAGTTGGTATTCTTTAATTTTAACAAAAATAAAAATATTTTATGAAGATATAAAAAAATTTATTTATCTCTATTCTAAGAAATTTATCTATTTAATTTAACAAATTTTACTTCAAAAAATTTAATTTAACAAATATTTATTAACTCCAAGATATTTAAATAAATCTTTTTTTTCTTGTTAGTAATAAGAAGTTATTTGCAGAGAAAAAAGAAAAGAAATAGAAGTCAACGAAATAGTAAAATGACAAAGGAGAGAACATAAGTGTAATAAATTTGAAGGATGATGTTTAATTTGAAATAAAGATGGTCTTGCCCTTCAGTTGCACACACTCCATCCAAGTACTGATTAAAAAATAAATTGGGAAACGCCCCAAAATGGATTCGATCCTACCATCTCTCTCACACTTTGAACCCGCTCGACCACCTCTATTGGGGGCATGTTTGTGTTAAAGCGGGTTCAAACATTTTTTTATAGTAGTAATGTTCCTCCATTAAACGTAATATATCAATATACGCAGTATAATTTTTCGACGAAGCGGGTTCAACTGAACCCCCTTGACACCATATGGGTCCGCCCCTGATATATATATATATATATATATATATATATATATAGAGAGAGAGAGAGAGAGAAAGAGAGGGGGGGAGATATTTCGAAGAAAGGTGTTCATCTCCCATTAGTTCCACCCATGTTTAGAGGAAGATCCTCAGAATTTTACTCTAGCATGTTTGGAAAGCCACCTAGGAATTGAATTTGAGCGTAATTGGGTGTAATTTGTCTAGCCAGATGGTCAGCATGGAATTGGGTGAAATTGGAGATGTGTAATTACACTCTTCAATTCTCAAGGGGGAGATGACAATTGGTGGTAATTACACTGTGTAATTACAAGGTTAGTTTTTAATTTCTTTTCTTTTTATTTTTATTTTAATTTATTTTCTTTATAACTTTTTTTATTATTATTTTAATTTATTTTTTTATTTTTTTATTTTATTTTAAATTTATTTTTTTATTTTAAAATTTATTTTCTTTGTACATTATTTATCTACCTTTACTTCTTGTGATTCCATGTAATTGCTCGTATATTTTATTTCTTATTTGTTTTATTTTCTTCATTTTGCGTAACTGCGTTATATTCTAATTTTTGAAACTACACCTCCTAATATTAGAAGTAATGAGTCATTAACAAACATGGCATATAATGAGTGATGCTATTAAATTAGAATTTTTTTGTTGAATGAGGTTGTAAACTTATTATGTTTCCCAATCTTAAGTTGTATTGGAACTTATTTTTATTATGTTGGAATTTGACATATGTTAAAAGTATTATTGTTTTGTGAAATTTTGAAATTGTATTATATTTATGATTTTAATTTACTTGTTTTAGCAGTATTGGCTTGTTATTTCACATTGCATATTTTTAAATTTTTAATTAAAATTTATACATTTGTATAATGTTATATTTATAAATATTAATTTATTTTATCAAACATGTATTCATGATGTTCTTATAAAACGTATGTTTTTAGTTTTTATAATTAATTAAATTAAATATTATTAATTTTAAAAATATATATCAATTATTTTTACACTATTAGTTATAAATATATGATTACTAATTAGTGTATATTCAAGAAAAAATATGCATCTTAAATACCAAATCTAATATCATCTTCTATATATTATTAAAAGTAAAAATAAAAAAATAATAAAAGGCTCCACATTAACCTAAGTGGTAGCCTAGAAAAAAGTCATGTGGCATAATTAGTTAATAATTAGTTATTTAGTTAATAATTAATTATTGAAAATTAACAAAGAAATTAACTACCTAAAATTAACTACTGAAGCATAGGTGATGGTTGGTTTAGGTTAGTTAATTTCTTTATTTCTTTTATTTTTAAATCATTTTCGTTTTTCTTTTTTGAAATAGAAAATATATTTATTCATTAAAATTCAGACAATATTATTGAGAAAATTATAATAAAATTAAAATAAAAAATATTTAAGAGTAATAAAATATATATATTCTATTATATTACAAAAAGAAAGTAGCAGAGAAAAATATTAAACAAGTAATATGCTAATAATTTCTATTAACAATATAATTATACTAAACATTGGATAATATAATAAAAAAATACAGAACAAAAAGTTATTCGATGACTATATAAGTCCCTTTAAAATAATAGATATTTTATTCATTCTTTGTTTTTTAAATCATTTTCGTCTTTCTTTTTTATAACAAAACATGTATTTATTCATTAAAATTTAGACAATATTATTGAGAACAATAGAAATAAAAAAAACATTTCAAGAGTAATAACATATATATGTTCTATTGTATTACAAAGAGAAAGCAACAAACAAAGATATTAAACAAAGTAATATACCAAAGTAATATACTAATAAAAATATTTTTATTAACAATGAAACTATACTAAATATTGGATAATATAATAAAAAAATACATAACAAAAAAGTTATTCAATGACTATATAAGTCCCTTTAATTTAATAGAGATTTTATTATTGGGTTTATCGTATTGACAAATAAGGTGACAATTAAAATTTATTAAAGCAATACGATCTAATATGTTCAAACAAGTCTGATCACAATTTAATTTAATTAATATTTTTTTAATATTGATCGCGCATCGCGTGGGTACGACTACTAGTTTATACTTAAAGAAAATTATTTATATGCATATATTTATTATATTAGCTTTTAAGTTTTAATAATTACTTCATTTAAAATTTAATTTAATTGTGTAATTATATTTGTGCAACCAAACCGCACACTTGTAATTACACTGTGATTACGTTATGACAAACAAACAAGTCGTCATAATTACGTTGTGTAAGTACTACCCTAGTAATTACTCCAATTCCAATTAGTGGATGGCTTTCCAAAGAGACTAAGGGTTCAGGCTTTAAAGTTCTTATTATTGAACCCGTTATATTTTTAAAATTATGAGTTCATGTTAATCATTTATTATATTTTAGTAGTTTTTTACACATAAATTTATGTCCGCATCCAATATTACGAGTTTATTTAAACCCGATGTCAGAAGGCTAGATCCGCCTCTATCCATGCTTTTTGCAACTCTCGTCTCATGGAACACAAAATTTGTATTACGGCTATACACATCAGTATGAATTAATTACCTCAAGTTCATTAAAAATATGTTGTCTGTTCCTCAGGTTGCACACTGCACACCAAGTCCCAAAATTAAGAAACCACGTCCTATCCTTAAAACTCTAGTCCTTCCGGTCCACTTTAATTAATTTTTTGATTGTTTTCACACATATTAAAGAATTTATTTTTTAGTGTTAATTAACAATAAAATTATCATATTAACCTTAATTTATTCATTAAAAATATAACAAATACTCCGAACCTCTTTACTCCAAGGGCAACTTTGCAAAAAAAAAAAGTTAATTCTTTCTTGATATTTGAAAAAATTAAATTTTATAAACCACAAAATAAATCAAAAAATTAATTAAAGTGGACCGGAATGAGTACTTACTTAAATTCATCTTGTAAGTTTTCATTTAAACTTTTTATTTAATTGATAATCATATAAAGCAGACGATATTTTAGTCATTTGCATCAAACTCAAACTTTCTTCCTGCATGCGCTACCCTAGAAGCACACACTATAACCAGAGGTAAATTTTGAATGGCGGCATATTCAATCAAACAGGTGATGTTCTCTCCGACTACGTATCCCATACTACCCATAAACTGAAAATTCATAACCCCAATTGCTACGAAAATCTCGTTTAATTGGCCTAAGCCTATGCCTGTTTGAACAGTTTCGGTTAACCCTATGCTTCTTTTATTACACTTACCATATGTCTATTAATTTGTTCACTCAGACAAATAAATACTTCATTTTTCTCTAACGAGGAACGAAATTTCAAGATTATTCTTTTTACCAGAAGTATGCCAATAAACCCCATATTAAACTACCATTTTGATCAATCACTCGCCTTCTGCTTTTGTGCAAATGATGTATATTTGGTTTTGAAGGATATTGATGTTAACGTGTTTAATTTTTATACTCCCTTCGTTAGTAATATAATTTGAATTGGCACAAAATTTGTGAAAAAAATAAGGACTTTTGAAACTTAATCTTAAATATGTCATAATATTTGTGTGAGTATAAACTTTTGAATCTTGTAACCTTAAATACGCTATAACATTAATTTTTTCTATAATGGTAAAATAAAAAGTATAAATGTAATTAATTCTAAATTTAAAAAAATTTCATTCTTTTTTATATGGACTAAAAATGAAAATGCGTTAGTATCAAATGTAGAAGGGAAGCATGGGGGTTGACTGTTGAGGGACGATAAAAGAGACAAAGAGGATCTGAATAGGTATAAAACAAACTATAGGGGATGGTTATACAATATACAGAAAATTAGAGGAGATCTACGAATTAATTCAGAAACCTCCAAAATCAAACTTGATCGGCGGTGAGAAATACGGAGACACAATCGATCGATTCAATGGATTCTCCATTTTCGCCGGCGATTCTCCTCTTCATCTTCCTTTTAGTTTCTTCTTCTCCAAATCCATCCGTAGGGTTCGACGCGATCTCTACGGAACAAAGAGAAGAAGGCATCGTATTAGTAGGACGGAGACATCTGATGAGCTTTAAAGAGACGCCTATTGGTACAAATATCACTTACGATTGTTCTCCGTCTGGTCCTTGTGTTCCTTGTACTTATTCCGAAAAGGTTTTGCTCTTTTTCCTTTTTCAATTTGACAATTTTGATGATTATTTCATTTTCTATTCTAATGCATGTATTGTTTAGTTGCCTGATGCGTGTTTGTTTATAGAGTTATATGATCAACTAGCTCGGAAAGTTTCAATTTTATTCCTCGCGATCAATAGAGTAATTTAAAATTCTTAGTACTTATATAGAGATTATTGCTACAGTTGTGAGTTGTCTGTATTGATGTTCTAAGATGATTAAATATTTAAATGCCAATTTCCTATCTCTGGGCACGGAGTTCAAAAGACTTTTTGAAACTCTAAAACATTCCATAGATATTTCTGTGCTATAAATCATCTCATTAGGGTGAAATGGAAACTTTAAAGTTAAAGTGTTTCTAAGTATTGAACGGTGTCATTCTTTTTAGTTTGCCAGCAAAATATTATGTGAGATAGTTAGCTATCAAATTGAAAGTAAATTGGAGCATTTATTGAACTGTATTGGGAGAAGGGGAATGGCAATTGGTTATAGTCTCAAGTAACCACAAATGAACGAAAGTTATGTTAAATTAAGGCTTGTTTAGATTAGATTTTTTAGGTTAGATTTGTGAATTGTAATTTTTTCTTCTATGTTCTTTCCTGTAGAATGATGAAAAGTATAGGTGCAGTGAAACTGGATATCGTATCCCATTCAAATGTGTAGAGATCAAAGCGAGTTCAAAGGAAGTGAACAGCAATAAAGGAAAGAAGAATCGATCTGCTCTGGAAGACACTTATGCTGCAGTAAGGCCACATGTGATGAAGCATAATGGACAATCTCTTGCCTCCTCGGTAAGAGAAAGAAATTTGCTCGATGATTCATCCACGTCGAAGAGTGGATCGCATACATATGTGACTTATAGGAGCTGTGTTCTTTCCGTTAATGAAGAGAAGCTGTCAGTACTTGGCTTTGAGGTAAGTACATGCTTTTTCTGCTTTACAAAAATGCCTCGTGGTGAACCATCAAATTTACGTTCTGCAACTGGTGACTTTGGAAGTCTGCATATAGAGTTGTACACTTTTTCTTCCGATGTAGTTGGTTCTTTTAGTATTCAGAGTTCATTTTAGTGCTAGCCAAGAGCGAAGCATGAAATAGGATGAATTAAATGATGTGAGAACCATCTATGATAATCTTGTTTTGATAATTTTGCCTGGGAAAGCAGTAAGAACTGTGTCATTTTAAACTGCTACAATCTAAAGAAATATGTGAAAACCAAATAAGTGTTCAAGGATGAAAGTTTATTGAAGTATTTACGAAGAAAAAAAAGAAGGTGCGAGTTAATGAGGTATAGAGAAGTAATAGATACTTTATTTTGTTATGGAAAACCACTCAATTTACTAGGAGGACTTTGAAAGGAAGCAAAGGAGACCTAAGGCATTTCATCTCTAAACGTGAAAAAGTAAAACTAGGTAAAAGCCCGGGTAAGCTAATGGAAGCAGAGGGGCGTATTGCAATTCTGAAACTTCAAAGAAATAGTTAAAGATCTGTATTCATAAAATGGAGAGAATATTATGAGGACTTATTCTCCCTAATTCTTGAATAGTTCCTCTTGGATTGTCATGTGTAGTCAAGAGATAACTCCAGGTTGAAGTTTTGTTATCCAAGAGATCCTATTATTTTCTGCCTCCAATTCACAGTCATGTCCAGTGTGCCAAGGATCCCTTCTACCTAAAGCCTAAAGCATAAAAGATTATGGTTATACCAAGGCCTTTAAAAATTTCTTTTGTTGCGAAGGTAAAATTTTATTAATAAAACAACACCAAGACCGTTCCGACTATGTACAAGATGCATTCACAAGTTCAATTGTTGTTCACTATTAGATAAAGAGCCAGTGAAGCCTAAGGAGGTGTTTTAACAGATTTCTCAGCACTTCATTAGTTCTATTACGGTGAACCATCAACCGTGAATGTTTTTGGGAACAATGTCTCCAGTTAAAAGATTGTCCTGCCATGATTACTTGCTGTTAGTGTGTCATTCTAACAGTTATCAGTTTCTTAGTTTTTCTCGACTGATCCAGTCATCTAGTTTCGAAAACTTCCTGGATTTCTTTCTCCTGAATGAAATGATGCGAACCATTTCCTTGGTAGGTAGAGTTACCACCAGTACCTGTTCGGTGGGAAATAGTAGGTACCTAGTGAAATAGTCCAGGTGCGAGCAAGTTGGCGCAGGCACTATTGCTAACAATAAAAAAAATGATATGAACCATTTTGCAGGCTTGCCTTAGAAGTATTGGCTGTTCGTATAGTGCATAAGGGTATTTGAGTTGTGTGATGTTATTCTTTTTGGACATGGAAATTCTTTAGGCGTAGTCAACCCAATTGGAAGATCTAATCATTCTGTCATGGACCTTAACATGGTATTTGTTGCTGTGCTGTTCTGTTTTCATATCCCTCTTCACCAGCGACCAAACTGAAATTCAAAGACTTTCACAGTTAGCTGATGCACACAAAGTTTCAGTATAATCATCCGAAGAACAAGTCTGGGACCCACACAACTTCTTTCTAAGGAAACCCGTTATACCTTGTGGAATAGTTCTCTGAAAAAGCCTCATAGTTTGTTGGAAGAACAAGCTCTTTCTGATTCTGTAAATGTGTTGGAATTAATTGGCATCATCTGATTCTTATTCTGAGTGATTTAATTGGATCTGTATTCTGTAGGTGCTTATGCTGGGCTTGCTGATTGTCAGTGGTTCAACAATATACTTCAGGAAAAGGCGAGCAGCTGCTGCACCTGGTGCTGGACCAGTTAGACTTCCAACTAATTCTCGATTTTGACTAAAAATCTGTAAATTCGTAGCTTAGGGATTCCTTTTTTTTTGTCGTATCTTTTTTTTATTGTTTGGTCGGAGGTTGCACCTAATTGATTTGCTGTTAAACATGTTTGAATCGGTGTAAAATGTTGTAATTCATTCTACCATTTTATAGTTGGAAGAAAATAGAGATTTCATAGTTCCTCTATATCTGTACTTGTGCCTTTGCAATTCATAAAGTATGAAGAGTAATTCCGGACAGGGTAGAAGGTGATCATATCCTGTTGTACTGTGTATTCTTTTGAACCTTTCAAATCACAGGATTCTCTGTTCATGATCTCTTCGTTCGGATGTGCATGGTTGGTGGCAGAATTAAAAAAATATTCAAATTCATCTTTTTTTGTCTCTCATATATTTAAGACAAGAATTTTACTTTTGTGGAGAATAGAACAATGTCTTGGCACCTAAATTAACTTTAGCACATTCCCTGTGCTTTGAAGTTCTAAGTATTGCACTTTGCATGTTACTAGAAGTCATAGATAGAGGACATGATTTTGCACCATCATAGTGCAGACCAAAGAGGTACTAATAGAATGTAGACTCTAACACCATGCTTTGGAGCTTTACAAAATTTTCAGATATTTTTCAGTAACTTATTTAATATTGGAAAAAGCGTGTTTAGCTATTTGAAATTTATTATTTACTTGAAAAACGTGTTTACAAACCTTTCAAGCCTTACATTATTTAGAACTCTTGATTAATCTAAAGCTTACACCGTGGGTTATCATAAGAGAGACATCAATCAATTGGGAAGTTCCGACTTTCTCAAGTAACTAAAATGATGTAAAGACCCAAAGATACAAACGCACACCTAAAGCTACTACATCATTTCTTTTAACGACCAACTTCGGACCAAACATAAATCAAAGAAAAAGCTGTTAGTAATAGCAGAACAATTAATTTGATATAACCATCTACCAATTCGGGTGCCAGCAGCCATTGGCAGGGGACTTAGGATAGAAAAGAGAACCTGCTTTCTAGGATAAACTTCAAATACAGACCACAATGTGCCATGTTATTGCTGCTTCTTTTTGAAAAAATATACACAATAAGACACTAAGGCCCTTTGTCAAAACTGTGGTGGATCTCTGGCGCGCATGTTCAAAGCCAGCAGCATAGTAAACTCAAAACAAAAGAATGGCGATGCTAATAATCCTCAAATAACAACTACCTTTATGACACATCTACAGGGATACAATATAGAAGGGCTACAATCAGCTCAAGTATTCGGATCACAAGAAGTAGTCTGGAGTCTTCCTTGTAGTGTCAGGCTCAATTTGCCGTGGAGCTGGGTCAAACTGAAGGAAATTTTGCTCCATATTTTCACCTATTTCTAGAATTGCAGCCATATTACCACACCGGTAACAATAGTTTGGAGCGCTAAATACCGTTACAACATTCTTATCCTGCCAAAAAGCAACCAATATCATGTTAAATAGTACAATTTAATACCTTAAAGACAGATTCACTTAAATGAACAAAAGTGGGAGATTTTTCCCACAGAGGTGGGAAAGAAACTGTTCGGATTATATCCACAGACCTGACACCAATTAAAACCTTCCATGACAAGCTGATGGGCTCTAGATATCAGTGTGAGACCATTGGTGTGGTTGAACTGAGATGCTATATCCTGTCCAAATGTGTAACCAGCCCCTCGGGGTGATATTCCCCACCCACAGCGATCATCTGGATCAGACCACAGGAGATCACACATTGGCCCTTCATGTGGCACCTAACGACCATAAAAAAGAGGCATAAATGATAGGATCAGTAACATTGGCATTAAGATGATAATAATAATCATGAAACATCTGAAACAATCGCAGCCACTAGTGCAAATAGGAAAGGAGCAACTGAAAGATAGTAAAGTGATTCTAGTATTTTGCCTTCTCTAGATCCAAGAAGAACTGGAAAAGTAGATTGCATTAACTGGTGAATGGAATATACTACAAGCCTCTATGTTCCATACATGAAACATTGTCAAACCTATCCAACACCACATTAGAAAAGAAAATGGAACTCTTTCAACTTATGATAATAGAAACACAGAATTCTCTTCCTGCTCAATTCTTGATTAGTTTGGCTCTGCATTTATAATCTTGCTGAAAAAAATGGATCTAACCTACATAAGACAGCCTGTTGTGCCATAATGATCAATTTTGTGAGGTAAATAGGTGATTACGTTGATACATGGTGTCAAATAGAGAGTGGAGGAAGTGACAATATAAAGCAAACTAGTTTGACATATCATGAACTTGTAAAAGCTTGAAGAAAACAACTATTATTATACCTCTTGTATACGATCCAGTGCTCGGATGTTATCGAGGGTATCAAGGGATGGTGAGAGTCCTCCATGCAAACAGAATATCTACAAATTTCTCAAAATTAGGCATATAAAACTTGCCAACAGTTCTATTCAAGTAAATTGCCAGCACAGTTAGAGCTCAAACCTGACTCTCTATGAGTGCTGTCAATGGTAGATAATCAAAAAGATCAGTGAAATGCTTCCAAACATTAGCATTTCCATACTTCCTCAAGCATTCATCATAAAACCCATACCTAGCAGGAAAGGAGATCTGTCAATTACTGCAAAAATGACTCTGAACCTGCAGTCATATTTTATGCGGTGAAAAACAAGTAGGGCAGCTGATCAGGAATAGCATAGATGAACCCTCCCTGCAAGACTACCCATAGAAATACTTTATTTAAAAAAAGAAAAACTGCATACAGATATCTTCACTGATGAGTACATATTGTGACTGTGAGTAACAAAATTATGGTCTCATTCGATAAGTAGAGGAACATAAAATCATATTTATCCTCATTACAACTTCAAGATGAGAAGGAAACAACTGCTGGAACATCCATCTTCATTGTCCCAGATTTCTCATTAATGCACAACTTCAAAAACTAACAACAAACCCAGTGTAATCGCACAAGTGGAGTATAGGGAGGATAATGCGTACGTAGACCTTACCTCTACCATGTGAAGGTCGGGAGGCTACTTCGGATAGACCCTATCCTTGCACATAAAAGAATAATGCGATAGAAAATTATCTTCGCTTGAATTTAGAAGGTATTTTGACACAGATGGAGTCAACAAATTAATGGGATGAGTTATGCATATACTCATTTTATGGCGAAAATCATATTTTATTTAGTACACTATTAAATCATTTGTTCACTTTATTATTTGCACATGACTTACATATTTTTAAATATTTATTTAAAATTCACATTCAAATTTAAAAATCTTATCAATTAATAAATTGTTAGGAATAATTTATTTATTTATTTGAAAAAGAATGTATATTTGAAAGATAGGATTCTAAGATCCTATTTATCCTTATCCAATAATAATATATCTACCTAGATAATCATACAAAAAATTAACTTAAAAAGGAGCAATTAAAAATTGGAGATCAAACTTATTTGTCTACATACAACTCTTTTTCCTTCCTTATGTATTGCTTATTTGATGAAATCTTATAGCTTTCAATTGGATCTTGGGTTATAAATATTGATATTATATTCTTACTTAACTAAATTTTAAGAGTACTATTTATATACGTATATAAATCAGATCAATATAATTAAATTTCATATATTATCATTAGTAGGTAAAAATCATCAAACTTTCCTCAGGTGTTTTCAATAGGTATAAAGTTCTAATACCTGACCTCCATGGAAAGAGGGTGAAGAAATGGAAAGAAGATTTGCATTGAGTAGGCTGAACAGAAGCATCACATTCAATTACACACGCATTGCTTTTGTGCAATAGGAGAAGACATAAATCAAGAAAGGACATTTGAGCCATAAAAGCGAAAATTTCAGGCTGCTACCCTCACTGGCTCACGCAAACCCAAGGAGAGAGAAGCAAAGAGGAGATTAAACTAACCACTAGCATAAAGTCGAATAACATAATCCACCAAACTGGACAAATTTTGAAAGAAAAAGTGGCATGTACGAACATCCTAGGCCAGTGAAACACTAAGTGTAAGAAACACATAAAAGTATCATGCACCAAGCAGCATAAATGAAACAATCACCAAATATAAAGAGATGGAAATTCTTCTACATACTTAGGCAGCATTGCATATTAAGTTCTTCTAAATTCTTTTTTTTTTTGATGAAGTAAGAGAATTTCATTAAAGGCATCAAGAAGATGCATAGCAAAAGAGGGTACAAGTAAATAGAGTGTGTGTGCTCATAAACATAACAAAAAGAAACCTATGTTAAAACTAAGGGGCAGACACAGTCCAAAAAATGATCACAACTAGATACAAGTGCCTAATTAAGCCAAGTAAAAAGGTTAAATAAACATTTAGCTTTAAGAGCATGATTTGGAGTTGATATTCCATCAAAACATCTGCTATTCCTTCCGGTCCATATACACCAGAAAATAGAAGCGGGGACCAAAAGCCAAGTTTTAAAATTCTTTTAATCGGAGAAATAGCAGTTTAGATAGATTAAGAAATATAAGAGCAATGCAGAAACCTTTTTTAATTTTATAAAAGCATCGCATAAACATAAAATTCTCACTGCCATACATAAACCAGATCATTTAAGAAATGACAAAGAATAATCCTTGAATATCACCTGTTGAGAAAGAGATATCTTCAAAAAACCTCATTTACGCACTTTAATGATGAATAAATATTAAGGACTCACACTTGAGTGATCTGACGGCTTTCGTGGTTTCCCCTAAGAATTGTGATTCTATCTCTGTAACGGACCTTCAGAGCAACCAATAGCGTGACAGTCTCAACGGAATAGTATCCACGGTCTGCATTTGTTAGGCAATTATTAATGACAAACAATGAATGCTAATGTACTCAACCAACAAGGAAACTGATAATACTAGTTAACACTTAACATACAGAGAAGTAAACTGAAAAGATAAGAAAAGGAATCCATCAAAGAAACAGTAAAAAGGTAATAAATGTAATCTGTCATTGCAGTTTATGGAATGAGACCTACATAATAAAATCTACCTTAGATGAAAACAATATTAGAAAGACAAAAGAAACCCTCAAAAGCCTTTATCTACCATCATGTCATAAGGAAAACATGTGAGTCATTTAAAATGGAAGACAGTTACTAATTTTATGGAACCCGCTGACAGAACACTTCCTTTTTGGTAGAGCT